CTCACCCCTGGCCCCACACGCCTCCCCACCCCGGGGTCTACCTGCCCTTCACCCCAGCCCTCTCAGGCCTCTGGCAAACCCCACATCTCCCTCCCGGTGGATTCAGACACCCTTCACTGCTAGAAGCTCTCCTACTTCCCAGGAGAGTGCATCCCAAAAGATGCCACCTGCAAATCAATCATGAGTACCTAAGAAGGGGTTGTGATAGCCTCTGTCCCCACCAGGTGATAATAGGCCAATGGATAGGGCCATTAGCATCTTTGTGCCAGCTCCCAGCACAATGCCTGACCCAGGACTTGTGTCCCGACATATGTCTTGAATGAATGAGAAAACAGATGTGCCACACACCAGCCAGCACGAGCAGCATAGAGTCCACTCACCCCATAGGACGGTGAGTGGTCTGTGTTTTTGCATCAGAACTTTTCACCCCCGGCCCAGGCGTCACAACCAGAGCCTTGGCCTGAAAGTCAGGACGGTGATCTGATGCAGGCTACCAAGCAGCAGGCTGCATGTGGGACCTGAAGCAGGTCGGGAGGCCTCTCTGGGTCTCAGTGTCCCTATCTGTAAAAGGAGAGGCTTTCATGCCTTTTTTTTTTTTTTAAAGCAAGAGAAACTTTTCTGTTTAACATTTTTTCTTACATAAATTTAACCATGTTAAAGCAAACCATTCAATGGGATTTATTACAATCACAGTGTTGTGCAAACACCACCTTCGTCCGGTTCCAAAACATCTGTGTCACCCCGATAAAACCCCATGCCCCTTAAGCAGTTGCTCTTCAGTCTCCTGCCCCACAGGCCCTGGTAACCACCAATCTGTTTTCGATCTCTATGGATTTATCTACTGTGGATATTTCATGTATCTTAAAATGACTCCTATGCAAAACCTCCTTATGTAAAACAGGCAACAGGAAGGCAGGTTTTCCCTCTTCCCCTCCCAGGAGCTCATGTTCCTCATCCTTATGGCCTTTCAGGGAAAGCTCTGATGCCAGGCCCCATTCTTTGCAGATTCTTTTTTTTTTTTTTTTTTTTTTTTTGAGACGAGTCTCACTCTGTTGCCCAGGCGGGAGTGCAGCGACGCAATCTCAGCTCACTGCAGCCTCCATCTCCCAGGTTCAAGTGATCCTCCTGCCTCAGCTTCCTTAGTAGCTGGGGTTAAAGGTGCCCACCACCACACCCAGCTAATTTTTTGTATTTTTGGTAGAGATGGGGTTTCATCATGTTGGCCAGGCTGGTCTTGACCTCCTGACCTTGTGATCCATCTGCCTCAGCCTCCCAAAGCGCTTGGATTACAGGCATGAGCCACCGCACCCGGCCTGGTCTTTGCGATTTTTAAATTACCTTTTTCGTCATATGGTACAACCTCTTAGAATTCTAATCCTAAAGCTGAATTTCTAAGGGGGATCAACCCCAAGGGTGCCTGAGAGTACAGGGGCTGGTGCCTGGTGTTACTGGCCCATTTTCTGGATGAGGGAATAGACGCTGGGCCCCTGTGAAGCCCTCCTGGCGTGAGGTGACTGCAGAGAAGTGGATCTCTAGAGCCCAGTGACACCTTCTCCTGCCACACAGACTACAGCGGGGTCTACGGTGTGACAAGCTGGCCCAGAAGTCGCCCTGGAGGGATGGCCACTTCCGGAAGACAAGGATCTCTCCACTGGCTCAGGAAAATGAGCCAATTTAAGGGAACCCCAAATGGCTTTGGAGGGGTGCACAAAACGTGCAGGACTCGCTCAGGCCTCGCTACGCCAACCTTCCCAGGAGGCCCGCCGGGGGAAGAGGGCTGCTCACTTCTGCCCCACGGCCAGGCCGGTGACAGTCGCTCCTGTGAGCACAGTCCTCTGCGGGGCCGACGCTGTGTAAATAATTAACAAAACATCTGCCTTGCTTCATAACACACCGTGGCTGACACAGCTCTCGGGGCCTTCAGAGACCCTCCAACGCCACACGGAGGACTTATGGCCCCGCCTTGCGGGGGCAGATGGGGATGAGAGCAGATACTGACAGGCAAACATTTTCCTGAGGCACCACAGGGCCACCCTGGGGCTTAAATCCTGCCTCTTTGCAAACTGCACTGTCTCCTTCCCTTCCGTTTTGGTAGGCATGATCCTAGAAAGGGGCTCCAGTGGAATCCAGAGGGGTCCCCGGCACCCGCTTCCGGCCTTGTTTAGGGCCTCAGTGCAGGGGCACTGGAGACACACTGGGCCATGGGCCAAGGGTCCCGGCTGTGTGACCCTGGGCGGGTCCTTGATCATTAAAGACTTTCCGTGTCTCTCACGCAATCTTGGGGAACGAGCATCAAGCGCTGACCCAGTGCTGCCCTCATACTGAGCATCTGAAGTGCATGATTTCACTCAGTTCCTCCCTCAAACCTTCTGAGGTCATAATATTGTCCCTGTTTTCCAGATGAGAACACTGAGGCCCAGAGCAGGGCGCGAAGTGCTCACGAGAGACAGGTCGGGGACTCCAGTCTCACTCCCTCCATTGGGTGCCCAGGCTTGGGCTTTCTATGTGGTTGTGGGGGAGCGCCTCGCTCTCTCTGAGCCTCAGGTTCCATTGTGTGAAACAGGTGGCTGGCGAGAGTCCTTCTGACTCCACGAGTCCACAGGAAATAACCCAGTGCTCGTCTCAACCCCAGTGGGTGTGTACGAAGCTCTCTGGATTGGGAGCCCAGTGAATTCCTCGTCACTTGGAGGAATTCACTAGAGCTGAAGGTCAAGGTCATGTGCATCTATCCCTTTGCAGGTGTCTTCCCAACAAGCCCAAGTTTCAAAGATGTGGAGGACAAGGAACAAGTGAGGGCAGCAGGCATTAGAGAGGGGGCCTGGGGACTGATTCCCATTCTGCCACTTACCTGCAGTAAGAGCGCACCTCTGGGCTGGGCGTGGTGGCTCACGCCTGTAATCCCAGCACTTTGGGAGGCCAACGTAGGCGGATCACTTGAGATCGAGATCTCGAGTTCAAGACCAGCTCGACCAACATGGAAGAAACCCGTCTCTACTAAAAACACAAAATTAGCTGGGTGTTGTGGTCTCTGTAATCCCAGCTACTCAGGAGGCTGAGGCAGGAGAATTGCTTGAACCCAGGAGGTGGAGGTTGCAGTGAATGGAGATCACCCTATTACACACCAGCCTGGGCAACATGAGCAAAACTTCATCTCAAAAAAAAAAAAAAAAAAAAAAAAAAACAGAAACAAAAACAACACACTTCTAGAACATGGAGACGTTCTCCTTAAAGGGATCTCTGTTCACCCTGGTCAACATGACCCGCCCAACAAACCCCAGCCTAATTCTGAAGTGAGAGGGTTAAACAATTTGGGGAAAATGCAGGCACTGCAGGCTCTGAATGGCAACTTCCCTCCCCCTTCCCCTGTCCAAATTCCTTCACACTCTATGGAATTCTTACATAAAGCCCCTTTTTTCTTTTCTATGAGGTCACCATCATGCAGATGTCTAAGAGAAAGAAAGAACAGCTCCGTGCAGATCCAGGCCATTGCAGCTGAATGCATTTCACATCCCGGCCACCCATCTTTCAATTCCCATGCCCGCCCCACCACCCCCATCACAATCGCCCAGCCACGGCTACAGACGTGGAGGCCACTCAGGTCTGGTGGGTGCCGTGATCTCGCCCTTGCTGGAGGCCAAGAAGGCCTGGCTAGAAGATCTGTGCCTTTGCCACCAGACCACCCGAGACCATCTGTGGAAACATCCAGAATTGAGACAATGGCGCAGCCGTGTACGTGGATCTGTTTCCCCACAAGCAAGTCCTGTTAGAGAGACAGATGTCAGAATGCTAGCTCACACTCCACGTTCAAGTTCCCAAAGTTAACGTCACAGGAAATGACACCACCAACTGATTGGCCCCAACGTCGGCTCCTCCGTCTGGAAGTCAAGTCTGAGAGGGCCTCTGGTTTAGTTCAGCTTTGGCCAAAGGAGAAGACCAACTCAGGCAAGAATAGGTGAAAGTGCTGGCCTGATTTTTTTTTCCTCTTTAAACTAACATTTTCCCCAAAAGTTATCTTGCCATTACCCAAGAGTCGTAAGTGAGAAGACAGCCAAATACCAAAAAGCGACTGAGACTCTCAACAGTGCCTGCTCATTTCAAACTCATCTTATGGACAGCCAGGGGGTGCCCGGGCCACCCTAGACCACTCCTCACTCCAAGAGCACTCCTGCTCCCCAGAGCTCCATGTTCCATAGAAAGTTCCATGGCATGTGCACACCACTTCCTAAGAATGATGTCAGCAAAAAAAAAAAAAAAGATAAAAATGTGGAAACAAGGACTATTTTTACCTCCCCAAATCACAGGCCAGACGGGAGAAAAATCCATGAATGCCAGAAATGTGGCCGTGCCTTCGCACAAGATCTATTATTTCACACCTTAAATTAACGCATCTCAAAGCAATTTGCAAATGTTCGTCAATTTGCGGAACATACATGGAAGGGAGAGAAATACCTTTTACTTTCAATACCAAGGGACGCTGGCAGGGGGCACAGCACGGCCCAAACCACAGAGGTCCCCACACAAAACATCCCTTTCGAGCACATGCAGTAGAAACTGTGACCGAAAAGGAAATGAACAGGGAAAAGAGGCGGTCCTGGGACTTAAATGACAAGTGACAAGAAACCTACCTAGATCACACTGTCAGATATTTAGGACTGTGAGTCAGGCCCGTGAAGGTGACATTGGCGGTCAGAATGCTGCACCCTTCCCGCGAGCAGCGTCCCTGCTTCATCCCGGCACAAGTCTATCAGTGCTTACCCGTATTTAATCTTGGATGATTGACCAGGGCCCTCCACTCGCCAACCTCCAGCTCCCTTACTTGGTCTAGCCTGCGAAGAGGAAGGAAATATTCTTCTCTTTTTGACAATTGTTTTGACACTTCCCTTATGAAACGTATCTGTGGCACTTAAAGAAAAGAAAAAATAAGAACTGCAGCCCTTTCTCTCTGGTAGCTCTGGCCCTGGGTGAGGAAGGTCTGGGGCAACCCCGCTCTGCAGGGTTAGCCTGTCTTAACCTACTTGGCTTTGCAGCATGCAATAGGAGCAAAGCAGCACAAAGGCAGCCAGATGTGATTTAAGGTGAAGAACTCTGGAATCAGAGACGGGGGTTCGAATTCCGACTCTTGCCATTTGCTGGTTTCTGACCCTGCCCAAGTTACTTAACCTCGCTCTCTGTAAGATCAGGAAAATGACCCTGAACCTCAACACAGGGCCAGGCACCCAGCCTACAACGCCTGCTACCTTCCTAGTGCAGTGGGGAGACCACGGCCTCTGCTCAGACAAGCCTGGGTTCAAATCCAGCTCTGCTGCGTATTAGCACATGACCTGTGGCGCATTCTCTCATCTCTCTGTGCCCCAGTTTCCTCATCTGTAAATGGGCATCGTGACAGTTTCCCATCTCAGTGCTGGCAGGTGGACTGGGTGAAATACAGCACCAGATCTAGCACACAGTATATCCTCAATAAATGGGGACATGACTGGACACGGTGGCTCATGCCTGTAATCCCAGCACTTTGGGAGGCTGAGGCGGGTGGATCACCTGAGGTCAGGAGTTCGAGACTGGCCTGGCCAACATGGTGAAACCTCATCTCTCCTAAAAATACAAAAATTATCGGGGCATGGTGAGGCACTCCTGTGATCCCAGCTACTCAGGAGGCTAAGGCAGGAGGACTGCTTAAAACTCAGGAGGCAGAGGGTGCAGTGAGCGAAGATTGTGCCACTGCACTCCAGCCTGGGCAACAGAGTGAGACTCTGTCTCAAAAAAACATATAAATAAATAAGAACAAATGGGGACCATTTGTCGTGGTGCTACTTTAATGAAATTATGCAAGTCATGTCTCCGAACCTCGGTTTGCTCATTTGCAAAATGGAGATAATAACCCCCATCTACGGTGAGATTAAAATGAGTGGATGTGTGTTAAAAGTACTCAGCACTAGGTCTGCACACCTTAGCCGGTCAAATATCATATCCATATCCGTATCATATCATATTCCAGGTGCAATGGAAAGAGGAAAGGCTGTGAGGTTGGTCAGGTGACTTAGGATTCTGCCCCCACTTCCTCCCAGCTGCCCTAGGACACAGGCTTGACCCCGTGTGCCTCAGTTTCCTTGTGCACAAAACCAAATGCCATTTTCTGTCACAGAATGCCACTGGGAGAGTCACACCCCCCCCAGAACGGCTCCCAGCACACAGCCCCTTCTGCTCGGTAAACAGAAATTTCCTCCCCCGTCCCCTCCTCGGCCCTTGTTCAAACCCACCAGAAATTTACCACCTGGTAAAGCCAGGCGCTCCATTTCTGGAAACCCAAACAGCTCTAAATCCAGACCAACCTGGGTCTGAGGCCTTCAGTCTGAGACTTTATTTTGTGGAGATAGAAAGTACTTTTTAGTCATTTCCGAAGCAGACGGGACGGCAGAGGCTGACAAACCACAGGGACCATTTTAAATCCTGGGCCTTTTCTTCTGGGAAGTTAGGCAAGAACCTTCCCAAATGTTTGCCCGTCAGGCTCTCTGCCAGGGAGTGACTCATTCCACGGCTCCCCACAGGCATATTTTATTTGGGGGTGGGGGACATAGGGAGGGCTTGGCCTTGATGGGGGAAGGAGAGGGGGCATTTCCAGCAAACCCAGAAAGTGGTTATTTGGTTTTTTGTTTTTTCTCATTTTCAGGACAAAAAGAAAAAGAATGTGGGTCTTTTTCGCTTCCTTCCAGGTTTTGTTTGCTAAAAGAAGACTTCCAAAGTTCACTAAGTAAACTCAAACTCGCTGAGTCTGGGGCAGGCGCAGCCGGCTCCGCATCTCTTTCAATGAAATTCTTCTTCCATTAAGAACGCGGTTTTTGAACATGCCTCCAAGACCCGCCTGCACGTACTGTACACCAAACTAAGACGACATTTTCCCCCCAAAAAGGCAAACTGAATTTTCAAAAGCCAGAGGAACTAGGGACTTCTAGAGTTTCTAAAGTTTGCCTTAAAGCGATTATGGCTTTCAGCTGCAAAGATTTTCAACAGTTGGAGAGCGCGCACCCACACAAAAGCCTGTCAGTCAAAATTACAAGGACAGACCTCGGAAGCTGGTGTCCCAAGCCCGCTGCGATCAATGTGTGACTGTCCGATTCACACTTGGAGCCCAGGCGAGGTATAAATAAATCAGAGGATCCATCTACTTAGCAGGGCAGGCAGAGAGGCCCCCACATACACAGATAAGTCCGGGGTCAGCCCCCCAGCCCTGGCTGTAGAGAGAACCAAGAACAAAGGCAGGGGAGCCGGAAGGGTATTTAGGAAAACTGAACACACGTCCTCGAGTGCCAGGCCGAGGGGCCCCCCCAAAGGCCTCGCTGGCCCAGCCTGTGTGTGTAGGGAGCGTCTTGCCAATGACCTGGCTCTGAAACCTCCGCTTCTGTCAGGCCCAGTCAGGCTGAGTCTGTCCTCCCGGCCCCTGGTTCACCAGATCAGGCCCAGCCCGGACCCCCAGCCCACGCCACGCCGCTTCTCTCTCCATGGGCTCCCTGGCTAGGGGGCCATCATTGTGCAAAGGCCTGGTGGGCGCAAAGGGGGCCCCTCAACCTCAGTCATAAACAGCTAGCACGGTCCTGCACACTCGTTACACTCACACCCACATAGGCACACTTTCTCCCTCCTAGGCTCACGCATGTGCGTGCACACAAATCACTTTGGAATGCACACACGTGCACATACACACACTCCCTGAGACCCGCACGGACTCCCTGCGGCGCCTGGCACACTCCTTGGCCCGTCGTCCCCACTCGGGAAGTGGGTTGTGACGAGCCATACCCGCGTCCCCGCACGCACTCACCCTAACAACGCCACCAGAGGCTCCGGGGTGCACACGCACACCCGCCGGCGACGCGCACACCCCGGGACACGCGGACACGCCGCCCCCGCCCGGCAGCCCGCCCGGCCGCGGACAGGCTCAGCCCCTCGCGGCCACAAGCGCGCCCGCCTCCCGCTCTCCCCGCGGAACCCCGGGCGCGCGCCCGCTCTCGGCCCGGCTGGGGGTGACGGCCCCGCCGCCCGTCCCCCGCCCCATCCCGGCCCTCGGGGCCCCACCGGCCGAGCCCCGGCCCCAGGCCACTCACCAGTGCGCGGGCGGGCTCAGCTGCCGCTGGGGGACCGGCCCGCGGGCCGCAGCGGTGCGTCCCACAAGAGTTGGCGGTGCTGCTGCCGCACGCCCGTCTGCTCGGTTCTGCCGCCGCCGCCGCCGCCTGCGCGGGCCCCCGCGCGCGCGCCCGCCCCTCCCCGCCGCGGGGCCGCGCCGCCCCCTGCGCTCGTGCGCGCTACCGCCACGCAGGCTTGAGTGGCGGGGGCGGGGGGGGCCAGCGGCGTCCTCACTGGGCCTGCACCCCTCGACTCCTCCAAGTCTTGCGGACGGCAAGAGATCCGCTCGGCCAAGGACCCCCTTTCCCATTTTAGAGATGGGAAGACTGAGGCCCAGACTCACAGGGCGCAGGCCGGCGTCTTCCCCTCTTCCCGGGCTCTAGACAGGATGAGGGTCTGCAGTCAGCCGACCCAGGGACGACTCCTGTGCATCATCGGATCCCCCATCGCCTAGCATTGCTCCTGCCACAGTCCTAATCAGGCTGAAATTGGCATAGTAACAAGCACTTATGTGCACCAGCTGAATGCAGGCACTGAAGTAGGCTCCAAGAGTATTCCCACGTGGGGAAGGCCCTGCCGCCCCCGCCCCCCTCCCCGCCCTTAAAGTGCCGGCGACTCTCCACCTGGAGCTCTCACTTCCTGTGGCCCCAGGGACCATCAAGAGCCAATGTGCAAAGGTTTCTGGAAGTAGTAAACGTCCCATCTAAAGAATGCTGAACGCCCCCTTTAGAAGTCAGAGTCTCCATGGAACCAAAAGGCAGCAGCTCAGTAATCACTTCACCTCCTCCCTGCACCAAGAGTAGCCGCTCCTGGTTTCCACCCCTGCTGCCTCCCCTTCACATTCAGAACTGTGCTGCATCCCAGGAGGGCTGGAGCCAGGGACACTGACTGCCTGCTGGACACCCAGCTTGAGCACAGTGCTGTACTGGGCACAGGGTGAATGCCTGTCGGGCTTCTGTTTGCCAAATGAGTGGAGGTTCTTGGACTGGCCGTGTTCTATAATAATGACACCAACTGGGCGTCCACCGTGTGTGCCAACCTTACCCTTGTGCCCATTTTACAGACGGGCCTAATGAGGCCTAGAAATGAAATTTCAAGCCGGGTGCAGTGCCTCACACCTGTAATCCTAGTACTTTGGGAGGGCGAGGCAGGAGCATCACCAGAAGTCAGGAGTTCGAGACCAGGCTGGCCAACATGGTGAAACCCCGTCTCTATTTTAAAAAATGCAAAAACTAGCTGGGCAAGGTGCTGGCCACCTGTAATCCCAGCTACTTGGGAGGCTGAGACAGGAGAATTGTTTGAACCTGGGTGGCGGAAGTTGCAGTGAGCTTAGATCACACTACTGTACTCTAGCCTGGGTGACAGAGCAAGACTCTGTCTCCACAAATTAAAAAAAAAAAAAAAAAATGAAATTTCAGGCTGGTGTGGTGGCTTACACCAATAATCTCAGTGCTTTGGGAGGCTGAGGTGGGAGGATGCCTTGAGGCCAGGAGTTTGAGACCAGCCTGGGCAATATAGCAAGATCCCATGTCTACAAAATAATTTAAGAATTAGCTAGGTGTGTTGGTGCCTGCCTGCAGTCCCAGCTACCCAGTAGGCTGAGGCAGGAGGATATTTTGAGCACAGGAGTTTGCGGCCACAGTGAGCTATGAAAGCACCACCACACTCCAGCCTAGACAACAACAATAAAAAGCAAGTTCTTTTGTTTAAAGTCTCCCAGATGGTAAGCGGTTGTGCTGGAAGGTGGATGCCAGATTGTCTAATTCCAGTGCCCGTGTGTCCAATCACTAGGCCCCGGGCTGCTGGAACAAGAGGGCGGCTAAGGCAGCAGCTGGCCGACAGGAGCCGGCCTGGTCCCAGCTCTTGGGGATGAAAATGCAGACATCACAAACCAACCAGGAGGATATGGGTCGTCCTGCAAATTGTTTAGCCGTTTAGCTAGAGATCTGTTTGCAGCCTTGCCTCACATGGTATACACCACAATAAATGTCAGACAGATCGAAAAGTTAAATAGAAGAAATAAACACTGCTACAAATCATAGGAAGAAGTAGAAATTCTGAGCTGGTGTATTTCAGTGTTACTAGAGGATTCGCGTTACTGGCCATATGCGTGCAGCAAAGCTTAATTCATTCGTTAGTTCACCCGACACATCTATGAGCACCCTCCAGGGACCAGGTACTTTTCTAGGCACTGGGACACAGGATCAAACAAAATATAGCCCTGACTTTCTTAGGGCTTTAATCAAGGGGGAGGGATGGGTGGGAGGAAGACACTGTGAATGTCTGACATTTCAAGGATAAGAAGTTTGGTGGAGAGCTGGGCGTGGTGGCTCACCCCTGTCATCCCAGCGCTTTGGGAGGCCGAGGTGGGTGGATCACCTGAGGTCAGGAGTTCGAGATCAGCCTGACCAACATGGTGAAACCCCGTCTCTACTAAAAATATAAAATTAGCCGGGCATGGTGGCGCATACCTTTAATCCCAGCTACTCGGGAGGCTGAGACAGGAGAATGGCTTGAACCCAGGAGGCGGAGATTGCGGTGAGCCGAGATTGCGCCATTGCCCTCCAGCCTGGGCAACGAGCAAAAGAACAACAACAACAAAAAGTTTAGTGGAGAAATATCACAGGGAAGGGTAGGAGGATCGAGGGGTGCTTTTTCATAGGGGGTGCTAGAAGAAGGCCTTTCTGATGAAGCGACATCTGAATGGAGGCCTGAATGAGGACATGGGAAAAGTCAGCAGGGACCCACTGTGTGATGGGAGGTCCCCTGCTCTGGCAGCTATTCAGTTAAGCTACAGAGCAAGAACCAGAGATTCCCTTTCAAAGGAAACTTTGGGAGCAGCACCAGGCCACTGGGAGGAGAAAGAGTGCCCCCCACCACCACACACAATATCTGTGTAAGACTTTACTGTTCGCAAAGCCCTTCCCCCAGTTTCATAGAACCCCTGTGACAGACACTTGTGATGTCCTCATTTTCCAGTTAGGAAACTGAAGCTCAGAGAGGTTAAGCAACTTGTCCCAGGTCACACGGCCAGTGGTAATCAACAGAGGTAGGTCTGGCTGCAGGCAGGCTAAGTGTTAGAGGAATAAAGAAGGCTTATCCTGGGATATAGGAGTGAACAAAATATAGCCAACTTTCTTGGGGCTTCAGCCAAGGTGGGAGAGAGGGATGGGAGGAAGACACTGTGAATGTCTGACACTTCAAAGATATGAAGTTTGGTGGAGGCCAGGCTCGGTGGCTCACCCTGTAATCCCAGCACTTTGGGAAGCCTAGCGGGGCAGATCACCTGAGGTCAGGGGTTCGAGATCAGCCTGGGCAATATGGCGAAACCCTGTCTCTACCAAAAATACAAAAATTAGCTGAGCATGATGGCATGTCCCTGTAATCCCAGCTACTCGGGAGGCTGAGGCTGGAGAATCGGTTGAACCTGGGAGGCCAAAGTTTCAGTGAGCTGAGATCGCACCATTGCACTCCAGCCTGGGCGACGGAGTGAGACTGTCTCAAAAAAAAAAAAAAAAAAAAAAGTTTGGTGCAGAAATAAAGCAGGAGTGGGTAGGAGGACCCAGGAGTGCTTTTGCATCAGGGATCCCACACCCCTTGGAGTATAATTCAGGGATGGGAGGGGCGGGAGCGGAGGGAGAAGTCCTGTGCACCCCATTTTCCTGCCCTTCCTCCTTCTCCTCCATCCCTCACAGCCATTTCCTTCCCTTTGTCCTGGGCCCTGTGTCTCCTGGTGATGCGATGGGGGAAGCATCAGGTTCCGCCTGCTCAGGGATCCTGGAGTTCCCTGCAGTCCCCTGCTACCCTGAGGAGAGCACAGTGGAGTGATAAGGCACAGTACAACCTGAACCCCACCCAA